CAGCTGGAGAGTGCCAGGCTCAGTCTAGATCTGCCTATCAGCATACCAAACATCCTGAGTCCCAGCCTTAAGGACCTTTGACTCCCACCGGCAATCTTCTGCTGGAGCCTTATCTTTGACCCCCATTGCCCGGTCCCTGCCTGTGAAGAGACCTTCTAGAGAGCTTGGACCACCCAGAATTCCAGACATTGAACCTCTGACCCACCTAAGCCCACCTGGGGAGAGAGAGACCCCAACAACACCTACTGGAAGAAACTGTGGGAAGACGGCAATATAAGAAAACACCTAACAACAGAAAGGCAAGCATAACACCACCAGAATCTAGGGAATCTACACCAACTAGACCTGAACACCCCAAAGCAGATGAAGCAGAAGAGAACGACTTAAAAAATATCGTCATAAAAATAATAGAGGCCCTCAAAGATGATGTGAGAAAATCCCTTGAAGAAATGGAAGGAAAAACAAACAAAAAAGTGGAAGAAATGAACACATTTGTTAAAGAAAGTACAGAAAGCCAAGGAAAAACAATTAAACAGGTGAAGGAAATGGTTCAAGACTTGAAAACTGAAATAGAGACAATAAAGAAAACACAAACCGAAAGAATGTCGTAAATAGAAAAACTGGGCAAATGATCAGGAACTACAGACGCAAGCATAACCAACAGAATTCAAGAGATGGAAGAGAGAATCTCAGGCGCGGAATATAAACTGGAGGAAATAGATTCATCAACCAAAGAAAATCGTAAATCCAACAAATCCTTAACACAAAACATCCAGGAAATGTGGGACACCGAGAAAAGGCCAAACCTAGGAATAATAGGCGTAGAGGAAGGTAAGGAAGCCCAGTTCAAAGGTGCAGAAAACATATTCAACAACTTTCCCAATCTGAAGAAGGACCTGCCCATGAAAGTACAAGAAGCATACCAAACATCAAATAGACTGGACCATAGAAAAAAGACCCCTCAACACATAATAATCAAAACACCTAACATACAGAATAAAGAAAGAATATTAAGAGCAGCAAAGGAAAAAGGATAGGTAACATATAAAGGCAGACCTATCAAAATTACACCTGACTTCTCCATGGAAACCCTCAAGGCCAGAAGGTCCTGGATAGATGTTCTACAAGTACTAAGAGACCACGGATGCCAGCCCAGGCTACTATACCCAGCAAGACTCTCAATCACTATAGATGGAGTAAACAAGATATTTAATGACAAAGCCAGATTTTCACAATACATATCTACATATCTACCAATCCAGCCCTACAGAAAGTATTGGAAGGAAAACTCCAACCCAAGGAAGTGTTAAATACTACATCTCATGGCCAAGAGTCTTGATGTTTACATAGAGAAAGTAACCTAAGCAACAACATTCAGGAATTTCTTTTTCCAAACATTGATGCAACATGAAAAGGTGCTTAAGACTCTTGCTGATATGGCTTCCTCAAAGTGATGTACCACTCCCCTTCATCACGATCCAAAATAAATTCTTTTAAAATTAATTCTTTTATCTTTTGATATTATACTATAATCTCATTTTTCAAAACCTTTTTGTATTTAAAATCCTGGGCCTCAATTTTTTATTGTTTGATGTAACACATGAGTATGTTACAAATATATGTTCCTAAATACCTAAATATTCCCTGTTTAGTCTGTATAATGTTATCTGTGTGTAGGTTATCATTTCAGAAAACCACAAAAACTCATAAAACACGGTTTTAAAGTACAGTCCGAACAGATACATCTCCTTCATCCATGCCTCAGGTATCATTGTGGAAGAGGATGTGGAAAGAATAGTTGTGCCAGTGTATTGGGAAGTTTGTGTTAATGCTATGTCTCATTGTAAAATCAGAGATAGATAATTAAAGTCTTAACCATATGACCACCTAAACAAGAGCACAACTACACACATTCCAAAGTGATTTAAAAAAGGTCCACAAGTCCTGAATCCTATACAACTCACTACAGGTAACTGAAGGAAAAAGCACATAAACTGGGTATTCAATACCAAATCTTTTTCTTAAACTTGCTTTTCTCAGTTATTTATGTACAGAAGATAACACAGGAATTCATAGAGAACCCTGGCTGTGAGTAGTGGGGCCTTGATTTTAACAAATACAACTGTCAGTTAGGCCTTTGGTTTCCGAGAGGATCGTTGAAGGGTTTGGAGCCTGAAGACACAGAAGCCCTGAAATGTGATCTGCAGGCTGTAGAGAACCCATTGGCTGAATTACTTGATTAATGGTTTTCAGGTCTCAGGTCTGCAAGCAATCTCCATTTTCCTGATTTCTTTTTAATAGCAAATACAGGAGAATTCGAAGGACTGGTAGATTCTTCTATATGTCCAGCATTTAGTTGTTCCTGAACCAGATTTTCTAGAGCCTCCAGCCTCTCAGAAGTCACAGGCCATTGCTCCACCCAGACAGGTTTATCACTTAGCCACTTTAGGGGTACGGCTTTTGGTTCCTCTGTTAATTTGACACTTGTTTTATTTTGGTTTTGTACAGTCTGAATTGTTGGTGTCTGTTTTATATAGTATCTTATATTATTTTTTCATAAACATGAGTTTGTTTACCGTTCATTTTTTATTCTGGAGGAATGTTAATCTGAGTATCCATTGCTGCAGCAGATCACAACCCCATAGAGTTATTGCTATATTAGCCACATGTGGCTTCACATGGTGACTTCTCATTGTCCTCTTGTATACACTCTGACCTGTGACATATTGTCTGTCCTCAGAGCTCTCTGAAACCTTAGTACAAGCCTCAAATCCCAACTATAGAATTTTCTTGAGCCATTACACAAGCTTGAAATGTAACCTGGTTTCCTTGGAGCACATTTTTAGGTGGCTCTACATGACTTGTGGTCTTAATTCATGGAAACAAAACCTGGGAATTTAGATTTGATGGGAAAGACCATTCTCATCAAACTCTAACTTTGGAAATACATTTGAATTTTACAATTCCCCGCCATCCTTGTAACACTTTACTAACACACTAGCACAGAGTAACAGGTTGATCTTAAACCCTAGGCTGAGATATTTAACAATCACAGGTGCTTTCACATATCTCTTATCTATGTGTTTATACTGTAAAATTGATTTACTCCAAACACTGTAGACATTTACAACTCTGCTTCATTTCTTGCCCAGTTTCATCTGTCCAGGACCTTCTGACTTTCAGAGTTTCCATTGAGAAGTAGGATGTAATTGTAATAGGTCTGCCTTTGTATGTTACTTGTCCCTTTTCCTTTGCAGCTCTTAGTATTCTTTCTTTATTCTGTGTGTTTAGTGTTTTGATTATTATATAGCAAGAGGAAATTTTTAGGTTCAGCCTATTTGGTGTTCTGTAAGCTTCTTGTACCTTTATAGGGATATCCTTCTTTAGGTTGTAAAAGTTTTCTTCTATGATTTTTGAATATATTTTATGTACTTTTGGGCTGGTATTTTTCTCCTTCTATCCTTGTTATTCTTAGGTTTGGACTTCTCATGTGTTCCAGATTTCCTGGATGTTCTGCATTAATAATCTGTTGGATTTAAAACTTTCTTTGACAGATGAATCTATTTCCTCTATTCTATCCTCAATACTTGAGATTCTTTCTTCCATTTCTTCAATTCTATTGGTTATATTTGCATATGTAGTTCCTGTATATTTACTCAGATTTCTCATTTCCAGAATTTCCTTGGTCTGTGTTTTCTTTATTGCCTCTATTTCAATTTTCAAGTCTTGGACTATTTCTTTCACTTGTTTACTTGTTTTTTTTTCTTGGTTTATTTTCTTTGCTTTAAGAAATTTATTGATTTTTTTCCAATTTTTTGTTTGTCTTTCCCCCCATTTCTTTTAAAGATTTTTTCATTTCTTCTTTAAGAGCATCTATCATCTTTATAAAGTTATTTTAAGATCACTTTCTTCTGCTTCATCTACAATGGCATGTTCATATTTCATTGTTGTTGAACCATTTGTTTCTGGTGCTGCCATATTGTTCTTTATTTTGTTGAATGTATTATTACACTGCCATCTCAGCCTAGATACATGGGTGAGGGCCTAGGTCCTGCCACAAATTATGTAACAGTCTTTGATAATCCCCCCTGAAGACCAGATGAGGGGGAGATGGGGAGATGGGAGAACGGGAGGAGAGGAGAGGGAGGGAACTGGGATTGGTATATACAATAAGATTTTTAATTTAAATAAAATTAATTTAAAAATCAATATCTACTTAGCAAAACTCAGTAATGAATTTCAACACTAAGGCCTATGATATCTCAAGACCTAAGGACTTGACCCAATACCAGAGTCCCAGTTATATCCTCCTTACTGTGGGGTGGGCTTCAGATTCAATTGAAAAGTGGATAGTTATGCTCAAAAGAGTAATGACACTATTACAATTCTTTTTATTTTGGTATTCAGGCAAAGGGAATTTGCACTTATGAGGTATGTGCTGATGCTAATGGGCATCATGGTGAATGCCAAGTTGCTCTGTGGGATGCTGTAAAAATGAGATGACTCTCATTGTCTTGAATATGGGGCAGTTTTGTGTGTGTGTGTAGAAAAACACTTTGAGAGTAGGGTGTTTTTTCACCTAACTTTGAATCCTCTGATGCAATCCAATTGCATCATGTCAAAAGCCCTGTGTACTATAAGTTCATGGACACAAGTTTTACAAACTTTCTCATCTAGACTTGTCCCTGTGGCTTTTCTGATCTTAGACTTGGATGATAATTATATCATTACAGGAATTTGGAATGATGATCCTCAGACATATTTTTCCAACATGTACTTGTTCCTTGGACAGAAGACCTCAGATGTAAAGCCTAAGGGCAGAAAACATTGAAGATTTCTCCAGGGGGCTGAAACAAGCTAATGTAGAATGCATAGGTAGTTGAGACACCTCCTCTGTCTGCAACACTTATAAACCCACAGACAAGTCCACACATTTTCCTGCCAAAGGTGTGCACTTTGTATCATTGCAGGTTCCATTCATGCTCAAAGAAACACTCATGATGTTCTTTTTGGTTTTTTTCTTCTTGACTCTGAAGTTTACTATACTGCTGTGTGAGTTGAATTTTGAGAGCTGTTTGGAATCTATCATAGACAATGTATACCAGGATGGAGACATGGTGATCAGTGCATTCTTGCCCCTCTATACCTATCAAAGCTTACAGCACAGGAGCGGGCCAGAAAACACAGATGTTAACACCCGGTAAGTGTTCCTATATGAACTTCCTAGCTTCATTCTCCAGGATGTACCCTTAATCCTTCTCACTTTTTCCTTCTCAGCAGTGACCCCCTTCCAGCATAGTAATAGTCTTTTAAAATTTTTCACCTGTTGCATTCTATTTTTTTGGCTGAATGCTGAGCACACACACAAAAAAAAATTCTCCAGCAAGTTGTCAAAAATTTGTCCCATTTTCAGCTGTCATGTAGGGGTAAAATGATGTAACAAACATAGCTTGGGGTATGTGTATAATTCATTATTAAATGGCGATAACACAATGTCCCTTCTACAAAATAAGGTCTAGTGATCCTTCTTCTGTGCACTTCCTAATATCTATACATACTGAGTGCCACTGTGTCTGACACATTCCTAGGGAGGCAATTGAATTTAGTTATTCATGCTCTTGCAGATCAGTATATCCTGCCGGTTGTGCCTCTATACCTCATTGACACTTGCTTAGCCAGGTGCTATAATCAGACAGCTTTGATGTTTGAATTCTCTCCAACCTCTCAGCGATACAGGTGCAGAGACATCCTTTTGCCTATTAACAACTACAAAAAAAAAAAAAACCCCAAAAAAACAAAAAACAAAGCAAACAAACAAACAAAAAACTGTCTGACAAAGGGCTGGGACAGACTTGTATATTTCTGTTCCTGTGAGTAGAAAAGATGTCAATGTGAGCAGAGCTTACACCTCCAGTCAGACGTTGTTGTGACAGATGTTGCCTGTGGCTGCTCTGCACACCCGGGAAGAGAGATGGCAGGAAGTAAATGCAACTGTTCCTACTTAGACGCTATCTTGTCGCCCTGCACATCTAAGTGTTGGCAGATAACTATGGCATTCTCTTTCACTTTCTCCCTTGTCTCCTTTTCACTTTCTTTTCATGTATGTTGTCACTGTATTACCTGCTGCTCTGACTCCCATGGCTTTCTGTTCCTTACCAGTTCTTGGAGAGATGGGCTCACTAGAACTTTTAACTTGATTTTGGGAGTTTCTGACCTGAATCACTTTGATATCTAAATACAGCAGTCATTAGTGGCATGTGTTGAATTTGATAATCATGTAGCTTTCCTATGTGAAGAGCAAACAGCAAACCTGCTTACTCTGAAGATGAGATAAACACAGGTTTAAAGTTACTGGAATTTCGTCTAATTTTTGTGCACAGAGTAATGATAATGCTATATTTTCAGGGACTGTAAAGTGATGAACTGTGTGAACAATAATACCAAATGACACAAGTTCATCACCATAAGTAACAAAACCTTTGCCAAAATCTGCAATTGAAAATTCTATCAGTAATGCTTTATTTAACCCCATGGCATGTCCTTAGTGACAGCATTACTAACTGCACAGGATATTGTGCCTTCATGTTGTGTCAACTACAGTTTTCCTGATTTGAAGTGAGTTCATGTCTTTTTTTTTTTAAATTATGCCTTTAATATAGGTATATACTATAAAAATATATTCTTTAATGGCTTGCTATTCATTCTCTTTATCTCTTATTTTTAAATGACTTTTTTCACATTGTTTTTCCAGAGTTGGAAATGACTTCATATTTGTTGTTTGTTTTATATACTTTTGAGTGTGTTGTGTTGAAATAGCAAAGAGCACATGTAGTTAAAGGCTTTTCTAAGATCCATGGCTTTTGAGTTGGTTTGCTTTCCAAGCCAGGCCTTATTAACCTCTTGTTGATCAGATTATTAAGTCCAAATAGATCTCTATCTGCACTTTATGCATCCAACCCAATATATCATTTTCCAAACAGATGTGTTTTCAACCCATTAAATCTGCATAAACTACTTAGAAATTGTATTTATTTTGCATCAAGTATGAGTATATACACTGAGATTTACATAAAACCATCTATTTGTAGCCTAAAGTGAGTCACATTTTCCTGACTGTTTTTTAATGGGTGTGTATCCATGGGTCTTGGTGTGTCTGTGATTATCAGTGTGGACACATGCAAGCCTCACACATGAGGACAACCTCGTATGTTTTGCTGATGTTCATCTTCCAGTCATGGTTTTTCGCTCACTGCTGTGTGTGCCAGATTAGCTGGCCAATAAGTTTCTCCTATATCCACTTCCCATGTACCTGTAGAAATGTATACCCTCTTCCCTCTCTTTGACTAGATTCCTGGAGCTCAGCCTGGTACTTGGTTGTAGATCACTTTATCAAGTTCCATCAATTACTGGATGAAGGCTCTATGATGATAGTAGGTAGTTATCAATCTGATTACAGAGGAAAGCCAGTTCCAGCACCCTCCCCACTACTGCTAGGAGGCTTAACTGGGCTCATACTTGTGGGTTCTTGGTAGTTTCCCTAGCACCAGTTTTCTCCCTAACCCCATAGTGGCTTTCTCTATCAAGGTATCTCTTTCACTACTCTCCCTCTCTATCCCTTCCTACTTTGACCACCCAGTTCCCTCATGTTCTCATCCCCCATACCTTCCCTTTTACTGACTCCTTCACCTCCTGTATACAGAAGAGATCTCATCTAATTCCCCTTGCCAAGGTGATCCCTGTGTCCTTCTTGCAGTTCTCTTTGTTGCATAGATTCTCTGGTACTGTACATTGTAGTGTGGTTATCCTTTGCTTTACATCTAATACCCGCTTATGAGTAAGTACATACCATGTTTGTTTTTCAGAGTATGTATTATCCCAATCTAGATGTTTTTTTCTAGTTCTAGTTGCCTGCAAATTTCCTGAAATCATTATTTTTTGATTTGTTTTTTCACTTGGTGAAAGGATATATATATATATATATGTATATATATATATATGTATATGTATATGTATATATATGTGTGTGTGTATGTATATATATGTATATGTGTATGTATGTATATGTATATGCATATATGTATATATGTATATTATTTTTCTTATTTTACATATTGACACCAGTTACCTCTCCCTCCTTCCCTCCCATGTACCCGACCCACCTCCCATCCCATCTCCCCCTCCACAGGGAGGGTGATGCCTTCCAGGAGGGATCATCAAAATCTGTCAAGTCATTTGAAGTAGGGACTAGGCCCTCCCTCCTGCCTCTAGGCTAAGGGAGTATCCCTCCATGGGGAATGTGCTTCCAAAGTCCTTTCCTCCACCAGGGGATACATCCTGGTTCCACTGTCAGAGGTCCCTTAGACTGCCCAGGCCTTCTAACTGAGACCCACATTCAGAGGGTCTCAGTTGGTCCAGTGCTGGTTTCCCAGCTATCAGTCTGGGAGTCCATGAGCTCTCCCTTGTTCAGGTCAGCTGTCTCTGTGGGTTTCTGTAGCCTGGTCTTGACCCCTTTCCTTATCAGCCCTCCCTCTCTGCAACTGGATTCCAGGAGTTCAGCTCAGTGTTTAGCTGTGGGTGTCTGCTTCTGTTTCCATCAGCTATTAGATAAAGGCTCTAGGATGGCATATAAGTGAGTTATCAATCTCATTATCAGGGAAGGGCATTTAGGTAGCCTTTCCACTGCTGCTCAGATTGTTAGTTGTGGTCATCCTTGTAGGTCTATGAAAATTTCTTTAGAGTCAGTTTTCTCTTCAAACCTATAATGGCTCCCTCTTTTATGCTCCCCCCCCCATCTATTCATTCACTGACTCAATCTTCCTCATCCCACATGTTCTCCTCTTTCTTTTTTGCATCTTTGTGTGGTTTAGGTATCTTGGTAACTGTAGCCTAGTAAAAGGATTTTGGCAATGTTCCCTCTGTTTCTATTGCATTAGATCATCTTTGTGACTCTGGTAGAATTCTGCACTCAAACCATCTTTTCCTAGGCTTGAGGGGAGGGATTGGGAGACTTTTAACAATGGCTTCTACATGTGTTGGTTGCCTTACTTCTCTGTTAATTTTCTGTCTGACGGACATGTTCATTGGAGAGTGGGGTACTGAAGTCTCCCACTATTCGTGTGTGGAGTTTGATGTGCAATTTATGCTTTAGTAATGTTTCTTTTACAAATGTAGGTGTCATTGTATTGTATTGGAGTATAAATTGATTTATCCTGTGATGAATATGAAATGTGCTTCTTCCACTCTTTTGATTACCCTTAGTTTGAAGTCTGTTTTGTCAGATATTAGGATAGCAGCACTGCCTTGCTTCTTGGGTCCATTTGATTGGAAAGACTTTTCCCTCCCCTTCACTTTGAGGAAATGTCTGTCTTTGAGGTTAAGGTATGTTTCTTGTATGCAGCAGAAGGATGGATGCTGTTTTCATAGCCATTCTTTTTATAGACTGGTTTTGTCCATTGATATTAAGATATATTAATGACCAGTGATTAGTAGTTCCTGCTATTTTTGGTGGTAGTTTGTGTGTGTATTTCTCTTTCATAGGATTTGCTAGTGTAGTATTATATATTGCCAGTGCTTCTGTGGGTACAGATTAATTTCTGTGTGGCTGGATTTGTGGATAAGTACTGTTTAACTCTGGTTTTGCATGGAATATCATGTTTTCTTCATCTGCAGTGTTTGAAAGTTTTGCTGGGTATAATAGTTATGGTTGGAATCTCTGGTGTTTCAGTGTCTGTATAACATCTGTCCATGACCTTTTGGCTTTCAGGGTCTTCACTGAGAAGTCAGATGTTACTATAATGGGTCTGCATTTATATGTTGCTTGGACTTTTTCCTTTGCAGCTGTTAATATTCTCTCTTTATTCTGTATATTTGTATTGTATTATGATGTCGTAATGGAATGTTTGGGGAGGTCCAATCTGGTGTTGTATAGGTTTCTTTTATATTCATAAGCATTTCCTTCTTTAGGCTGAAAAAGTTTTCTTCTATGGTTTTGTTGAATATATTTTCTGTGCCTTTGAGGTGATATTTTTTCCCCTTCTTCCATCCCCATTATTTTTATGTTTTGTCTTTTTATGGTGTCAGAGATTTCCTTGATGATTTATGTTATTAGCTTTAATGTTTTCTTTTACTGGTGAATCTAATTCCGTTTCTCATATCTTCAACAACTGAGATTATCTCTCCCATCTCTTGCATACTGTTGGT